ATATTCTCTTGTTCTCAGAAAACCCTATATAGCTTTCATGATTTCTCACAGTTGTCGCCGGTTCCTCGCTTTTGCTTTGAGTTTTACCTAGTTTACTTCCTTTAACTTGGGCACTGGAAAAGTTTTTTCTTTCTATAGTCTATACTGTTTTATAAACAAGTGATCTTCCAGGACGCAGGTAGTCGTAGATTGCTTTTCTTGCTAACGGCATTTGTAAAGCCCACATGACATTTCAGTGTTGTGTCGGGTACCGATAGGTGCCGACAGAAAACAGTCATTTATTCACGCTCTGATTTACTGACGGTGTAAGCCATTGGTGTCGTGAAGAATCACTACATTCTTGTTTGAATTACTTTGTGCTCAAGTCCCCGGGCAGGGTACTTCGGTAAAGTTTGGATAGGTGTGTGCCGCGAAGGGTCTTAAACCTTGACCCTGTTTAAATATGAAGCAAATGAAAATTGATACCCTATTTAAGGCCCAAACTCGAAAAATGACATCCTCTTCAAGGGAAAAACAAACACTAAGAATAGCGTGAACGGTTCAACTTTATTTGGTTTCAGTAGCATTGGAAGTTAACCGAAGGTTCAGTTTTAACAGTTCATTTCTTTTTCTTTTAGCAGGGCATTTGATACAATTTAGGTACCCTATCTAAGGATCACACCGGGAACGCAATGCTAAACAGGGACAAAAATGATACCCTATTTAAGGATCAAGAGCCTCAAAAATCCTTACCCTATCCCGCGGCACATACCTGTATCGCTCACATGTGAGAGTACCCCCGCAGGGGTTAGAGTGTTCCTAGCTGGAACCCTACAGAGACAATAGTCATCCTTGGGAGTGAAGAAGACCTTCAGTAACACTCTAGTTTGGTTCTACATTTCAGTATGTTGGCGAGAGTGAGCGGGCCGTCAGACAAGTGTTCCAAAGAGCCAGGAATTCCGCCCCATGTGTGATCTTTTTTGATGAACTGGATGCACTGTGTCCGAGGAGATCTGACAGCGCCGAGGTAACCTGGCACTAGTTGTTCAAGAAATGCATCAAACACGAAAGACCGTGTTTTACCACATTTCCAACATCGAGAAGAGAGTTGAAAATACGATGCGCTGGAGACTATTTTTAACGAACTTCGAGGTGTTTGAAAATGTGGTCAAACACTGTCTTGAGCGTTTGATATCTATTCGCAATCGAAGCTAAAACTAAGGAGAAAATGGAGAAACAAACTCGTAAGATCAGATATCCGAACACCGTGACGGTCATGATTTCCTTTGTTTAAACTTGATGGATTATGGATGAGTCTAAAAAAGGACAGATAACACAATCTGTCTTTTAACTCGCTATCCAGCTGATGTTATAGTTTGTTTTGCCAATGGTAAACAAAACATGTTGGGACACTTATGAACTGGATGTTGATTTATCCCCTGGGTATTTTAAACAACTAGACCCTGGCGCTTTCTTAAAATCAATCTTTTACTTCCAGTTTCTTTAACTGGCATTTGTAAAGCTCACATAACATTTCAATGTTGTGTTGGGTACCGATAGGTGCCTACAGAAAACGGTCATTTCTTCAAATTAAATTGTACTGACGATTAAAACCGTCGGTGTCGTGAAGAATGACTACATTCATTTATGTTTGAATCAACTTGTTACTGTTCCTCGTTTTAACCTCGAAGAAGAGTTTTCCACTTGTTGCTCTCGAGAGTTTGACTCGTCCCCAGTCGTTTTCATACAAAAAACGCAAGGCGAGCAAGGGGTAAGGGGAAGGCTTTCTCCCTACCCATCTCACCCAGCGCTCCCACCTCGCCCCGTGCCGCGCACTGTATGAAGGAAGACTTGGGACGAGTCAGCTATAGGGAGTGACCAAACTGATTGATGTTGCATTCTTCTGACTGTAATTGCATTGGAAACGTGAGGGCGCTAAAGGGGTATAGCGTGAAAAGAGAGAGTTCACCTTGGTACAAGTTTTACGTAAAATCAAATTGCTATTTCACATGATTAAATCCCAGCCATGAAAAATGACGGTTTACGGCTATTCAGTAGATGACGTTTAGGAGAAAAACGTTTTTTTTTTTTAATTTCACGCCCTCAGAATGTCAATCACAGCTTTACGAAAACACCCCTTCACCAACCTCATGGATGAGTCTAATAGTATTATTGTTTTGCTCTCAAGTCGGGTGTAAGCGTACGAGTCGTGAATCAGTTGCTAACTGAGATGGACGGACTGGAGGCAAGAAAACAAGTGTTCATCATGGGAGCCACCAACAGACCAGGTGAGATTTAGGACTTATGACACGAAATGGCTTCCTCCGCTGAGGGGAAATCTTGACGTAACTCTAGGAAACTCATATGTAGGAGACTGGGGATGAGCGATTTTTCCCCTTTGTTTCCCAATTCTTTTGTTGATCATTTTTCCTGATTCCTAAATTCCCGTTTGAGTCGCCTGCGGGATAGAAAGAACGTAAAAGGTCATCTTTAGGATGTACAAAATGACCTTCAGATCGATAGAAACATGGTACTCCGTATAAAGACGCCAAAGAAGTAATAATTAACCCAAAACAAACAAGGATGGTTTAAATTGGGGAAGATTGAAACAATTACTGTATGGACGAGATAAACGTTACCTACGTTGAACTTAGAGTACGTTTTCTGTCGCTCAACTTGTTAGTAGAGTGCTTTTATTATGGCCGTCTAATGCACTTGAAGGGTAGCCCTTGCTTCTCCCCTTTTTTTTTCGCTCGCCGTTTTTTGCGCTGTGCCTCAACTAACTGAACGCCTGGAAGAGCTACCTGAAGGGGGTGGGGGGAAGGGGGAGGAGGGGGGACTCCTGTAGGAGCCAACTTCACTGGGCATGTCTATAGGCGTAGAGAAATAATCTTAGGTTACCCAGGTCAAATGTTGCTTTTGGACCCAAACAAAGCTTTCGACCTTGTGTACACCGTAATGGCCATTTATTTACCCTTAGAACCTATGTTGTTTTGTTGACCACCCAAAATCTCATTGAGAACTACCATAGAAAGAAATGTATGGTAAGCAAGTAGGGAGAGTTTAGAGTTGTTCACTTTTGCTCTGTTTTTGTAGATATCATCGACCCTGCTGTTCTAAGACCTGGTCGACTTGATAAAGTGCTGTTTGTTGGTCTACCGAACACAGAAGACAGGGGAGACATTTTAAGAACGCTAACCAAGGTGCGCAGGTCGATGTAATATACTGAGTTCATTGCAATGGACTGGAGTTCAGATTGACGAACCAAGGATACAACGAGGTTTTTACGTTCTTACGTTCGACTGCGCTTTGTTTTTGTAGATCCTTCCGTAATTTCTCGTCAACGGCTCCGGTTTACACATTGAATCTCGAATTGTGTAAAACCCGTCCGAGTGCTCATGTCACATTCCGTGTAGGCACACTGGTGGATAAGATTACACTGGGTCGTTTCTCTGTTCAGTTTATGTCGTCTTTATTCAGCATTCTTTTTTAAGGCGTGAAAATTTACTAAGCTCTCAAGAAGGCCCAGAAGAAGCAGGGGCCCCTTCTCGAAAGTCCTGGTACCATCCGGTCCCGAAAAGCTGCTTTTTTGTTTGCCTTGTTCACATTTAAGATCGAGATATTAATAACTTGGAAATTCACACAATTAAAAATATTAAGAAACGATACAGAATGGGCCGGTTTAAAGCTAAAACCCGCAATGTTATTCCTTAGATTTAGATCTTAAAATATGACTTCGGGTGCGTTAAGTTACGAGGGCTTTCGAGAAATGGGCCCCAGTTTAGTAGGATTTTCAGCGGTACTTTTTTTAGTAATTTCTCTGTCAGTTCCCTTGATCGTAAAGTTTAACTTCAGTGACTGATTTTTCCTCTGTATTTTACTGTTCTTTTTTTAGGACGGGAAAAAACCGGTCCTACTGCCTGATGTTAGTATCGCAGATCTTGCGCGTGACGAAAGATGCGAAGGTTTATCGTAAGTATTTATTAGTCAGCTGTAACCTGTTGTATTTCTTCTTTAGACATAGACGTAGTTTATTTTACTTGGTGGCACACTTAGCTATGGTTTTGGTGCGTTCCATAGAGTTGATAAGCAGAGTTTACAGGACACACCAGCTAGTTTACAGGTGCGCTAAGAATACAAAATAACAACGTAAAAATGCACATTTGGGAATAAGGAAAGTTCAGCAACAGCGTTTAGGCAATTTTTTCGAAAAAAGCATTTAGAAAAAACCCACATTATTCGTGCGAATAAGTTTCCGTACTTATGGTTGGGAATCACTTGTCATTTCTTCTTAGCTTCAAATGTGCGTAGCTCAGTTTCATTGAACGTTTATGTACCTATGATCCACAGGGAGTGGAAAGGAGTAAGTTCATTGAACGTGTTGCCGGATTTATTTTATCCGGCAGTTATTCAGTCACGTTTTCTATTGAATTTTGCTGTAACATTAGGGAACTTAGCAATGACGATGGTGACCCCGAAGACAACGCCTGGTAAAAAGTGAATGTATATTTAACCTTGAATTTTGCAGTTGTCTAGATCTGTTCAGTACGCCAATGGCTCTAAAAACGTGCTCAAGCTAAATATGCAATGACTGCGTTCTATTCCATGTAAAAATATTAAAAATTAGCCGTCGTCGTTCGCGTTCTTCAGTCTACGCAGAATTTAGTCATTTCACGTTCTTATTTTGCAGAGGACGGCAAAGAAATGTACAAAGATTCAGTTATAGCGCGTGTGTATAACCATTGTTCTGCTCATGAAACCTTTAGTTTGGTGACGTTCTCGTTGCCGTCGTCGTGGTTTGCTTGAGTTCCCTCTCGTGTGTACTTCCGCCGTCTTTGGATTGTGCGTCCCGCCGTCTTTTCTCGAGTCATGTGTACAACTAGTAACGATCAACTTGTTAGGGTTGCTGATACGGATTTAACGCACCTTGCAGCTAAACGTCGACATTCCACTAATGACAATTTTTTTCTTTGCAGGGGAGCTGATCTCGCAGCATTGGTTCGTGAAGCTTGTATGGCGGCTTTACGAGAATGTATAAATGCGCGCGCCACTTGCCATGTGTCCATTGAGAACCAGGCTTCTCTTGAACAAAGCCCTCTGGGAGTGGGACAAAGGCATTTTTCTGCAGCTTTTCAGAAAGTAAAGCCTTCAGTAAGCAAAAAGGTAGGAATATGACGTCAGTGCGCATTGAGCTGCCACTTGAAAGGCTTTTCAGGAAAGTTTTAATAGGCCTTATGGAACAAGGTGTATCACACAGTGGACGTCAAAGTATTCTACACTTCCACACTTTGAGAAGTTTGTAACTAAGTAGAGAGTGACAAAAGTGGAAAGGCTGGGGAAAAGGGTTAAAATCTCTAGTTTGTCACAGCATTCCACACTTCCACGCGTATAGTTGTGTAGAACTAAGATAAAAATAAACTGTGGAATAATTGGAAAAAAATCAAGAAAACCCTTAGTTTGTCACACTTTTATGTACCTCCCTCATGGAGAAGTGTAGAACTAAGTACAGAATGATAACTCTGGAATGGTTGGGGAAAAGATTGTTAATTTCCCTGGTTTATTACAGCATTCCACATTTCCACGCATAGAGTAGTGTGGGATTATATCAAAGTGTAGAATCCAGGGATTTCATGGCCATTACTGGAGTTTAATGCAGAAATGCCCAGTTACTAGCTCATTCATACAAGTTATAGTGATTGTTCTGTCGCCATTCAGTGTGAGTGTTCCACGATTGATCAGCCTCATTTCGATGTAAAGGGAAAAGGTCCCTGGGGACTGGGGACGTTTGTTATTCGCAGCTGACACGAGCTTCAAACTGTTTTATGGCCCTTCCCGCATAACTTACCCGAGCGCCACGATATGTTGCAACTTTGTTTTCAGGACTTTTCCTCCAAACTTTAGGGAAAAAGCTCTGGGAGCGAGCTTGAATATGGCGGGAAAATGTAGCGGGTTTCTCGCCTCCCTCATGATTGGCAGAATTCCCGAGTGTTCCAGCCAATGAAGTAAAAAGTTCGAATCTATTTGCCAATCAGATTCACAAAGCCCTAACATCCGTGGCTGGTGATTTCCTGTGTCAGTTACATGGTTTTCCAAACTTACCACCCGTTACAATTTTTCCCGCCCTTGCCATCAGCTGCAGAGCCGGCTCACACTCCTGGTACTGGTTACAGGTTTTTTTCCCCGCCCTGGCAACAAATCAGAATTATTTTTTCTGTTGTGACCTGGTCTTTTTTCCTCGCGTTTTGTACCGGTAATTTGTTTTGTTTGAAGTTCTGATTGGAGACGCAGTCGGCGGCTTTGTTACTGCTTTGGTTTTGTTTTTACCAAATGTAATCGGTCACTGCTCTTTCGAGACTCTCTCAATAGAATGTAAGGATACTTAACGGCAAGTGTCCTTGAGTTGATCGTTTTCTGTATTCTCTATACCTGTCCGCAAGTCAATTTATTTTAAAAGGAATAGATTATGCGCTCGAGATTCTATCACGCAAAGAAATCGAGAGCGAATAATTTAATTGCTTTAGTATAAATCTGCTAGTTGTTCAAAAATTCATCTAATTTTTCCTCACAGACACTTCGAAAACGCAAAGAAAGGGCCGCCATTTTGTTGACTCCACACTGCTAGGCTAGTCACTATAGAATAGATAGCTAGTAGCGCAGCCAATGAGAGAACGGCATTCGTGATAGAACGCTGGCAGATTTATACTTATAACAGTTGGAGGGAACCTGGACTAAGTTTGCAAAATGTTAGTTGTTAGTCTCTAGCTTGTTTTGATTAAGCTTTAGAGTACAATAAATAATAATAATAATAATCACTTTATTTAAGTGTCGATGAATTTAGCACTAATGTGCTAATTGGGGACACTGTAAATAAATAAACAAATATTTCAAATATAACATAAACTATTAAGAATCCCA